AGTACCTTGTAGTTGTAAGGTTTGTTGGAGAACAGTTCTGGACTCATGTAGTAAGGTGTGCCGATCAGTGTGCTGGCCATGTCGTTCTGATTCTCCAAGACCCGTGCGATGCCCAGATCACCCACTTTGATTATGTTGGTCTTGGTCAAGAAGATATTCTGCGTTTTCAGATCTCGATGCAGGATGTGCTTCTCGTGTAAATACTACAGATCAACAAAAATGTAACGCCTTTATCATTGAGCTAAAAACTCAGAAAGAACAGATGGATGGACAAATGGCTGTCGACTTACCTGAAGGGCCATGGCAATTTGAACAAACCACTCCACAACCTGTCTCTCAGGCAGCAGTTCTCCATTCTGCTGTTTGAGTCTGTGGTAAAGATCTCCTCCCTCACAGAAACCCATCACGATGTAAAGCTGACAGTCCTCGCCTTCCCATGATTCCCGGTAGGTGACGATGTTGGGATGCTTGAGCTGTGAGAGGAGCTGCGCTTCCTGCTCCGCGGCTCGCCGCTCACGTCTGGAGGATGTTCTCAGGTTCAGCTTCTTGATCACATACTGCTGATACGAAGTATTGTGTTATAACTTTGCACATTAATAAAAGACATGAATTCCAGCAGAAAATGTCCACATTTTAAGAAAATGCTCTAGTTTGTTGTACAATGAAGGAAAGGATCGTATCTGCAATCATATGTACCAAATCTCAAGTCCATTATTTTAATTTTTTTTCAATATCAAGTTTGACTGAAATCAAATAGGATGAAACTGCGCTCTACTTTTTTTTTATTTTTTTTAAGTAGAAACAGAAACATCCACACTCCTATTATTTTTTTTTTTATTATGCAACACAGCACATACGAAACGGATGTTTCAATGATTTCATTTTTTTTCAATATCAAGTTTGACTGAAATCAAATAGGATGAAACTGCGCTCTACTTTTTTTTTTTTTAAGTAGAAACAGAAACATCCACACTCCTATTTTTTTTAATGCAACACAGCACATACGAAACAGATGTTTCAATATCAAGTATAAAATTATGTATAAAAGAAAGTGTTTTAGTGCTGGTAACCTTTTCTTTTAAGATTTTCTATAATAATCACTTACACAGTACAACTTAATGGTCCTTCTTTGTGACAAATGGCAAAAAGTAAAATAAATAAATATTTAATGTAATATCTCAATTGTTAAGGTCATAAAAACCGCATGTAAGATAATTACATTTTAATTTAAACTTTAAAGAAAAAAGTTTTTCAAAATAGTTTCAAATAATTTTAGAGCAACTCACTAACCAGGATGTCAACTACCTTTATAGTATTTGACCAAACAAGTTAATATCAATAACATTAAAAACATACTTTATATGTCTAACAGATTGATTTGATTCATATTTTTTCATACATATTTGTATTTGAAGGTACATGATCATTCTGATGTGAAGCGTGCTATTATAGACTAATAATTGGCCTCTTAAATTGTTACTATAAATGTGTTATGTATAGGCCTGTCACGATAACAACTTTTTGTTGTGCGATATATTGCCCCAGAAATAATTGCGATAAGCGATATTATTGTCATTTTAAAGACCATTTTATGCCACTGAATATATAATCATAATGTAACAGCATAATAACGCAAGAAAGCATACACACTTCCAAATGACAACAAACTTTCGAGAAGCTGCAAAGACACAGGCGCAAGTGTAATGTACTAAACATGGTGACATTTTTTTTTAAGTAAATTGCGTCACCAAAAATTATTGAGGTCATGTACATATATTGCGCGATAGGTCGATATATTGATTATTGCGACAGGCCTAGTTATGTACAAGCAATATTAAACATCTTAAAGTAATTAAAAATCCCAAGGTTTTTCCTAAAATATGCATAATGAAGAAAACAACAACAACAACAACAACAACAACAACACACACACACACACACACACACGTTTACTTAGCTATCTAAATGGGGACATTACATAGACTTCTATTGTTTTTATATACAGATAGTTATACACTTTTTTTTACCTAAACCCACCCCTACCCCTCACAGAAAACTTTCTGCATTTTTATTTATACAAAAAAAGTTTGTTTACTTTATTTTTTATACCAGTTTTACAAATGAGGACGTTTCCTTAAATTGAGTTGTTGTTTTTTTTGGCGATTTTTGTCAGGTTTTGCTCACTTTTGAGTACAAATTTGTCCCCAAAATATGGTTAAGTAGGTACACACACACACATTTTGATAGAAGAAGCTAACTGCCACCAGTAAAAACAACCACAAAGTCTGTTATTAACTAACGCTTAAAATAAGACATTAGTTCAGCTTGGCAATTAGTTAAATATATAAACCAGTGTGTTACTGATTAGCAGCGGTATGCGCAGGTCTGCACAAACTCAGAGGCATGCATCACGCTAACTGTTACCTGTTTACGGTCTGATTTGTGTCTGACCAGATTCACCTCCCCATAGCTCCCCTTCCCCACAACTCTCACGAATAAGTAACTGTCCATGATCCTCCGTCCAGAGATGCTCTATCACATAGCGAGTGACTTTAAGCCCTTCCGCAGATGTTGAATGGCAAGCAAGCGCGCTATTCTCAATGTACCGACGGTGATTTGTCTGTTTCAAACTTGTTTTGGGTGATCCAGGGCACAGGAACCAGCCGTGCACAGCTTTAGCGTCTCCAGGCAACTGAGCGCATTAACACTACACGCTCCGGGTTCATGAATGTGCAGTTTGAGAACAGCGCCCTCTATAGGCTCAGCGACACATGACAAATAATAATAACGATTCATGATTTAGAGTTCAGAGATATGTTTGTTGACAGTGTTGTTTTATGTCCTAATCGTTAACATCTACATACATTTTTTATATTATATTTAAATTACAAACAGTATAACGGTTGTACGTTAATGTTAACCACGTGTTAACCAGTAGGCCTGTAAGATAAGTCAAAAATTATTATCACCAGTAGGTGGCGGAATGTTTTTATTCACGTATTAACCGTTGTTTGGGGCACAGGTACAGACTAGTAAAACCATCTGCCATAGCTGAACAAACAACCAAGTTTAAAATGTTATGAATTTTAAAATCTAAAAATACTGCCTGATTAAATATAAAACTGATTAAAGTCACACATTGTAGCTAATATGCTATCTTGGGTCCACTTTAGACATTCTAGTAACTAACTTTGCAACTAAGCTAAATCTCATTCATTTGCAACCACATGTCAACTACTCTAATTAGAGTATTAGTAGACTGTTAGGATAGGGTTATGATTTGTATAAAAAGTTGACATGTACATGTAAAGTTACTTATAGTCAGTAAATCTGTTGGAGGAACATCAAAATAAAGTGTTAGCCTACTAGGGATTCACTATTCAAGCCTTTGCACAGTATATATATATATATATATATAGCCTACATCAGCCAGTGTTCCACACAGAGATCTGAGAAGAACTGTGGCAATGTCTCCAAAATGCTTGAAGAAACCTGCCTACAAAACTACAGTACTGTGAAAAGTTTGAGGCACACTAAAAATGCTGTAAAGTGAGGATGCTTTCAAACATAAAGTCATAGATTATATTTATCAGTGAACTTCTATTAACTAAATCATAGAACACATTTTCAAACCCTGGCTACGGCCATGATAGTAAGCTTTGAATTGCAGCAGAATGAGCATCCTCTGATGATTGGTCTCATATGTGCTAAGTAGACCAAACAGTTATCTCTTATTTCATGCAAAATTAATAAAGTCATTGACACAGACTGCTATGACTTTGAGCCATCCAGTAAAACGCTCAAATCTGCAAAGCAAGCCACATCACAGAACAAGGAAAGTTTGTAATGAACTGCATGCATAAGAGTTGAGACAGAAAACATAATACTAAAGTAAGTTTTTCAGCAAAATCAGTGATCCTCTGAGAAAACTAGTCCCATCCGAATGCGAATGTCTGTGATTGCCAGTGATATTTTTTTTCACAACGCGTTTCCTTGTGTGTTTTGGCCAACGTGAATTACCGTAGATGCTCATGTTTGATATATTTGCCTCCTGGCAAAGTAAAAAAAAACAATAATAAAATCAAGAGCCAGATCACGTAAACTGTTAAGACTGACTATTATAATATCAGCGTCAGGTAAGATTACTCGCGTTCATTTCTGCACTCAATTACATAATGTTTTAATTACATATGTACCTTTATGAAAATTAAACATGGGTTTACTACAAATAAATAAAAAAATAAAATGGTTAAACTAAAGTAACCACACATTAACATGGTTTTGCTATACTAGCGATCTTTAACACCTAAATGTTTCATAAAAATAGACATGATGTTTAATTTTTTTTTTTAAATCAGAACTCACAGGATTGCTGTCATGTTTATTTGTTCTTTAGTTTATAGAACAAAAGTTTATATGTTCTTACGTCGATTTCCTGAACTTGTTCTGCACGTCGTACAGACGTTCAAAAAACTCCTAGTCAGATTCACATTTTGAACTGCATATCTACGTCCAAGGGACGTCGTAGTCAGACGTCCAGATACCGTACCGGATTTGCACGTCGATTAGACGTACAGATACGGTCCTGGACCGACCGACGCAATATAGACATGATCTGCACGTCGGGCGGACGTCTCATGTTTGTTGGGGTGTCACTGAAGACTGGAGTAATGATGCTGAAAATTCAGTTCTGCATCACAGGAATAAATTACACATTAACATATATTCAAATACATTATTGGAATATTTCACAATATTACTGTTTTTATTGTATTTGCTTTTATATCAGCGGAAAGAGGGATTTTCTTAAACAAATTTCCTCATCAGCACCTGAGCTCTGAGGAATAAAGATATCCGATAATGACATAAAATCAAATTCTAGGAACACGGATTCGAACAGACTTAAACCCCGCCCCCATTACCTGCGAGTCAGAGATCTCTTTAATCTGATTGGCGCAGAGCTGCAGAGGCGCTGTGACGTGGGGCCGCTCTGAGGCTGGGTCAGCAAGAGAAACCACCCGTCACAGATCTCAGCGAGACTAGAGCGAGCGCAGCCCGTTCACATTACAGCACGAGACGCGCCTCTGCACCTCTCCGATTCACAGGTACCGACATCCACTGCATTTTAACGTTGTGTTTAACACGAAATGTTGAGGACATGATCGGTAACTGCTGCTGCTTTCCGCAAGATGTCAGACATTTAAAAGCTTTTGGTAGCCTTTAATGTTGGTTTTACATATTGATGTCATGTAATGTAAAGTATGTATGTGTGTATACATGCACGGTGCTGCAGAATACTTGCATTAATAATAACTGCACTTCGCAAATGCAGGCTAGTCCCACAGATTAAGAGTTTACAGTCTGTTTTAGTTTGCATTAGCTGGTTGTCAGTGCTGCAGAATACTTGCATTAATAATAACTATGCACTTCGCAAATGCAGGCTAGTCCCACAGATTAAGAGTTTACAGTCTGTTTTAGTTTGCATTAGCTGGTTGTCTCTATCCCGCATGTCTTTATGATTGGTTAGTTATCTCACTTAGTCAGAGGGTGGATGTGGTCAACCACTTCTTTAGTTTTTGAATGCACTGAAACTTTGACAGCTGATGGTTTGATAGTATATAAAGAATGGAGATTAGGCTAAAAAATTTTTTTATGTCGTCATATGAGGCATCATATTCTCTTCTTTTCAGATAAAATATTTTACTGTTGTATTACAAACTCTGCAAGTGTAAAACCGAAAACATCTCCGCAGCATTTAATGAAACTAAATTGAAAAAAAAAAATACTCTTTTGAACTTCTGCATCGTTCTGACATCAGACAAGTGAACGTTTCTGCAAATGATAAACTGTGTTGATCAGTCAGTATTTGTCAGTGGCATTAAAACGGATTAGATGTCAATCCATGTTGACATCTCCACTGTGATGGTGTTTATAACTGTTATTATGACTTGTCAGAATGTGTAATTCAGGCTGTTTCCTCAAAAGTGGCACAGTTAAAAACTATCAAACCTGACAGCAAAACCACAGCACATGAGTAAAATTGCTTAGCAAAGTTATTTATTTCATTTGACACGAGAACATTTACAAAAAAAAGCCTCAAAGCAGCAAGAAAATGGTTTAATTCTAAAGGTCAGAGAGATGGTAAAAAAATAGGGATGCATTGATATTTTGGCTGATACGATAATGATCATTCTCTATAAATGGAATATGATAACCAACATACCGGCAGATAAATCTAAATCTTGATATAAATTTGTGTAAGCCTTATTAAAAACAAAACAAAAGGCGTATTACATCCAAGCACTTCTAACTATATCAAACATATAATGTACAACTGCTTTTATTTAAAACCTTAACTGTAGAAAATAAAGAAACAACCCCCCCCCCAAAAAAAAAGACCAATTATAGCCTACTTTGAACCAGTTAAAATGCCTGACCTTTAAAACTCTTTGAATATATCATATATAATTTTCATATCTGACAAATAACACTAACATTAAAAATGAACATCTATTGGCTGATCCCGATATGACCTCTAATATATTGTGCATCCCAATAAAAATGGTCAATAAATTATGACTTTTGAGGAAAACAATAAATACATGTATTTCACAACCCCTTTTAAAACATATGAAACCACACTGCACTGTATCTAACCATTAAAGGACAAAACCTTGCTTCTAATAGACTGAAAATGCTTAATGTTTTAGTTTTAATCACTGTTATCTTATCTCAACATAGCATCTGTCTCTTTTCACCAGTCAATCAAGTGGTTCCACATGTGTGCCCTTTCTCTTTCAGCCTATTAGCATTTCGTTTCTGCATTTTTGTGCTGTTTCCTCCTCTTTGCCACAGCCAGCGTTGGCATTATTTAAAGCACTTTGGCTGTTTGATTTCCTCATTTGAACATTCTTAGGGATCAGACAGCCTGCCGGTTTTAGCAATTGATAATCTCAGATGTAGTTAGTACCAGTCTATTGGTTGATCAGTTGGTGTACTAGAATAGATCAAGCTTTTATCAGTTATTGTGGGTTGCTCTGACAGTCAGACTGTGATGTGCAGATAGACACAATAATGTTAGGGCTGGTTACAAGCAGCATGTCTTCCTCTTTGCAAAACCTTCGTTTGTGCAATCATTTGTGCAGTTCTGTATAGGCTGTAGAAGGAAATAAAGTCACAGTTATCGCTGCATTATAAGTGTTCTAAAACAGTAACAAAGCGGCGGCTGAACTTCCCTGTGCTTTCCTGCGGCTGAACTTCCCTTTAGAGTCATGTCGAGTGTGCCGTGCTTCGACAGAAGCTACAGGAACGTAAAAAAAATTAACAAAATACGGCATTTTGTTCTAGAGCAAGTCACGATGGTGCTGCAATTAAGAGCTGAACTTTGAACCTGTCTGCAAATAGCATGTGGATCACACACTTGATGGGTTGATTGTCGCAAGCAGCCATATGGCATTTGTGTATCTGTAAGCATCTCTTAAAGGGACAGTGCACACAAAATGAAAATTCTGTCATCATTTTCTCAACCTTATGTCATTCTAAACTTGAATGACTTTCTTTCTTCTGTGGAAAACAAAAGAAGATCTTTTGATCTCAGTGTTTTTTGCCCACACACTGAAAGTCATGACATCCAACTTGTTTTGGACCCCAATGACTTTCATTGTATGGGCAAAGAACGCTAAAATATTCTTTGTGTTCCTTACAAGATCATACAGGTTTTTGTGTTTATTGGCTAGCATACACTCTACTAATAATGTTTAGTGAAGTTTTGAAGCTGCATCAACTAAAAAGCTCATATTTTAAAAGACCGAGCTTGGGATTTAAGAATTGTGTATAATCGGATAATCAAAATGAAGATAGATTAAAATTGATTAATGGGTCTTGTCAACTAAATCAGTCAAGCTCCACAAATGATGAAAAAATGCAAATAAAGCACCATATTTTGCATTATGTTCCAAGTCTTTTGAAGCCCCTTGAAACACTGTGTGTGAAGAACAGACAAACATGTGAGTTGTTATTCACAGATGCTCTTCCCCAATTCGGGGGTATGCTGATTAGTTTGATTTCTGACATAATTGTAATGATAACCGAACGGTGTTGATTTAGCAACCTTATAAACAGAAAAAGCAAGTCATTCCTATAGCTTGTTTTTGCACATCCTGTGGTGGAGGCCTTTGTAGGGTGAGAGAAAACTCGCAAAGGTTACCACTATTTGTATATAAGCTCTATACTTCCTGAATTTGAATTATGTTGTGGTTAGTTAGCTCACCTTAAAAGGGGAAGTGCAGTTTGTGGTCATAAACGCCCATGACAGACTCTATTAGCACGAATCATGAATCGTTCTGAGTGTGGTGTGACACTGTTCCGACCTGCTGAAGGTTTAGGTGTCACTCTGTATCTCTTCTGTCCTCTTCTGAGCAGCCATGGGAAACCAGTGAGTATCTCCATCGTCTGTCTGATGAATTCAACATTTTGAATGCTGCATGATGATCTATAGATGGTAGCGTTGTGTCTGTTTTCAATCCTTCAAGCTTGCCTTTTGATTCTCCTTTCTATGTGGGTTAGTTTATAGCTCTTCTACAATCGATTTCTTGACCTCTCCATGGTTCGACACTAACAAGCGATGAACTGAAACCTTTTCTACCACTGGACCTGCATGCACAGTGATCCAAATGCCTTTGTTATGATAAATGGTGCCTATGTATACGTTTTCTTAAAACTTCTTGCCTGAGATTTGGGATGCCTTTAAATCTTTGGTGTATGTTCATATCTTGCTTGCCTGGGGAGCCTTGGATGAAGTTTAGACTAACTCAGGGATGTGTCTGGATGCTCTGGTGATTCTTAATGAGAAAATGGGTTTGTCAATAGAGAGAATTTAATGTCTCCCATCTTCTTTGCATGTGTCCATGTTAGATGTTGGCCCAGGCATCACGTTTAATTCCTGCACTCTTTCTTTGCTGTCTTTAGCTGTTTTGAGCTTGTCAACTGTCTGGAATGCAGAAGTTTTAAGGAAGTATACCAGTTTTAAGAGAGATTTCCAGCATTAAAATAAATATTTTCTGTGAAATTCTGTGGACGACTTTGTGACATGTTTTCGATTACCTCAGACGTACACATATCTCAGTTGTAAAAATCAAAAGTGCAACAATCGCAGTGATATGTAGCCCATTTACATGTTGGTAGCTAATCAAATGTGTTCGACTTCAATTAGACTTACAAAGTAGTCCACAATAAAAGAATACATATGTATAATGTTAAAGCAAAAGTGTGATTGGTGCAATTATGAACCGGTTCAGATTTCAATTATTACGGTAAAGCAGCATAGCACTTTGAGAAATCAATATATGTTGAGTCAATTTAGTTATGCTGTCACATCAAGTATGCCCTAATTATACACCACATCCTGTGGTCTAGTGAGAAGTCTGATGTTACCCATAAAAAAATAAATAAAATTGAGTCTGTGCTGCTTTACAGCCGAGTAGTGCATCCATATTATCCCAGTGAACCAAAGTCTATAGTCTTTGATTGAACTAAAGCATAGCCTACAATGTAAGTCTATGGAATAACATGCAATATCCCATAAATGTTCATTGTAAGGAAATTTCTCTTTATTTCTTTCATTCTTTCACTTTCTTTTTTTCTTTCTTTTTTTTTCATTTTTTGCTTGTTTTTAGGTCAGAATTTTCCAGAAGAAAATAAAAATTCATGCAAGATAAAGACTGAAAAAAATAATTTAAACTAGGGCTGCACAATTAATTGAATTTCTAATCACGATTACAATTATGGATGCCACAATTACGTAATCGTTCAAAGCGGCAATTAATCGTTCAAACCAGGTTCAGCTATGACTTCACCGTAATAAAAATTTTCAATGCTAGCAAACTTTAAAGGTGGGATGATTTTTGGTAGCCAATGTTGATATTTCAAATCACCAAAACAATCACGCCCCTACCCCAAAAGGGACTCGCCCCTATTTTGATAGCTCTGTTGCGGCTTTTACAATGAAACACACTGTGCCTTCACGACATGGCGGCGGCGGCAACAACAATACTACAACGAGAATAAAAGTTATGCCTTCTCTTTCTACTTGTTATCTTAAGGGTTTTTCCATTTTTTTCTGTTTTAATATAACATTATAATGCCATTCATATTTAAGAAACCAATCCGATTTATATTTCACATTTGAGGCTTAATACTATAGAAAAGCACTAAAGGTTTTTCAGTTAAAGTGTTTTCAGCTTGTTTATTTTCATATAAAAATACGGCATGCAGTTGCATCAAACAATGGTATAAACATCATTCAATGTAAATTGTGATAATCGTAATTAATAATCGCAATTACAATTTCAAGGGAATAATCGACAATTATGATTGTTGTCATAATCGTGCAGCCCTAATTTAAACCATTTTCAAGAAAGTTTTATTTTTTATTTTTTACTTTGTTGCTCACCACATTTTGCATCACATGATTTAGCAGACAAAAAAGAAAAAACACTGTTTAAAGAAATGATAATCAAAGATTAGGTTATGCCAAACATGTTCTTTTCAAAAAATGTCATTCTTTTAATGCAGCTTTTTTTCTTCATTATCATACCAAGGATAGGATCACTCTGACATATTTGACCTTATGCCCCATCAAAATTTGTTTTCAGAAATTAAAAACATGCATCATAGAAGAGGTGTAATCGTTGTATGTATGAATTGTATTTTTAATGTATTTTTGAATAAAGTAATAGGTCGAGATACAAATGAGCTTTATGACCTTTGTATAAAGGGCTGATCTATTTTCTGATAAATGACAGCTTGCCACAGTTGCTGTCAATAGAGTTTAACTAACTGAACCTGGAACCGTCTTTAAAGGGGTCATATGATGCTGCTAAAAAGAACATTATTTTGTGTATTTGGTGTAATGAAATGTGTTTATGTGGTTTAAAGTTAAAAAAACACATTATTTTCCACATACTGTACATTATTGTTTCTCCTCTATGCCCCGCCTTTCTGAAACGCGTCGATTTTTACAAAACTAATCGGTCTGAAAAGCGAGGTGTGCTCTGATTAGCCAGCTATCCAGTGCGTTGTGTGGTTGACTCTTAACTTTTATAAAGAATATCGCTTTGGATTTGAGACTTTAGTCTTTGCAACTTTACAGATCTTCTTTATGCACCAAGAGCTTGTAAGACTCCAAAGAGAAAGGAAAATTTTAAATCGCATCATATGACCCCTTTCAATGCTCAGATGTCTGAACAGTGTAACATGGCCGTGACATTACCCAATAATGCTACCTCATTTTGCACAACTTCTGTTTTAGGAAAGAGGAAATGTACTGTCTCAGATTAAGAAACAATTAACAGAGGTATACCGGAGAGACAGCCCTCCTTAAATACACATATTTAAACAGTTTAGAGTGTTTACCCAAACTGTGCGCCTAAACCAACCAAGATCCCACTGCAGCTGCTCTGTTAGCTTACCATTTGGATCTAGTTGCACAGTGGATCACATGGTTCCCATGGAAACATTGTCATGACACACACACCCACAAAAAAAGAATACAGTAGACCACCAGCTGTGTTTAAGTTAGAATGGATGTAGCCAAAAACAGCACAGTATACCGTTATGATTGACATTATGTGACAAGGTTTGGCATGATCTCCCTGAGTTGATGGTGACAACTTTTAGAATGAAGAATATAGACAAAATAGACACAACAAACCACCACCCAACAAGTTGTGAGTCTATCATGAAAGAGATTGCTGAAGATTGCAGACCTGCTCGGCGACCGAATGAGCAAAGCTGCATACATGTTATTTTGTTATTGATCTTAGGATATCCCTACGGCTGTGTGGAGTGAAAGTAACTTTCACAGCTTCTAAGCAGTTTGGTGACTCGTGAATCATGCTGTTGAAAATCAAATGGCAAAACAATATTTAAAGATTTACAAAGTCACACATTTTATGTTTTATAATGAAAGCCTGTTAATTTGAGCTGGAAAATAAGTGTTAGCGATGCACCAATATTAAATTCTGGCCAATGCAATAAGCGACTAATTATGTTCATGTTATGGTGATACTAAAATGTTTTCTATACTATTTTGTCTAAATAAACTCTAAAAATGTCAAATTATAAAACACTAGTAAAAACTAAAATCACTGTTATATTCTACAACATTTACAATCACAAGAATAATGTTCAGTATGAAAATTGCATATTGATTTAGAGATTTACTAAAGATTACATTTAAGAGTGTTATTAAATTGTTTTTAAATGTCTAATGTGATTAGTTTTTTAAAGGGGTCATATGATGCTGCTAAAAAGAACATTATTTTGTGTATTTGGTGTAATGAAATGTGTTATAACATATATATAAAAAAAACTTCAGCTTTAAAAAAAAAAACTTGTCTCTAAAAATAGTTTTTTTTTTCATTCCACGACCCTGTGTTGTTTTTAAGCACAAAAACGTTTGTGTGTGAATGGCCCCTAACGGTGGCCTTTAGCCTTTTTTGTTCAGGTGGAAGCTTTGATCAGCTATAAGACAGGTAAGTATCAGGTAAATTCATTTTTCAGAATGTCTTGAATTAAGACATATGGTGAAAATTTGTAAAAAAACAAACATTTGTTTCTACCATGCTTAACCAGCTAAGCATTAAACTTGTTTTTCTTTGTATGTGCAGTACAAACTAACAACCTATAAAAGATAAACCCATGTGGACACAGGTGTTGCAAGATTCTTTAAGTAACTGCAGTTGACTGAGCTCAGTTTACACTCTCGTGTCTCATAGAAGACTGAACTAAATAAAACAGGCCTGGATGATAGAAGTGTGTAGTTGTCAGAACCCTTTACTTTACTTTTACTTTTAGTCATTTAGCAGATGCTTTTATCCAAAGCGACTTACAAATAAGAAAAAGTAATTAAAACTAAAAGCTAAAACTCTATAAATACTATATATATATACACACACTTGCTTTGAAATACTCAAGGAAAAACAGACAGATGGGGAGCACTTGCTCTGACATGATGGTGTCTTAATAATAATCACTTTACACATAGTAAAAGGTCTTAATGCTTTAAAGACACATCATGTGTCATCTTCCGGTGACACTTGTAGATTATACCGCAGTCATGTAAACCTGAAGATTTCTACATGGTGAGGTCAAGGTCCAAGTGAATAAAACTAAAGTTCAAAGTTTTTAGAAATTCAGCTGAAGCTGACTTATTTTCCAGTTAATTTCATGCCATAAAACATAAGATTTGGCCCTGAATATCTGTAGGATTGTTTTGCATAGGCCCTTATTCTATAGTAATTGAATGATTTCCTCTTCCTCTCTCAGTCTCTCCATCATTGACCGTAGCAAAATGCCACTGGGAGAGGATGGACACTCTTGGAAAAAGAAAACGTCGAACATCAAGGACATCTATGACTTCAAAGAGGTTTTGGGAACGTAAGTATAAGAACATTTTACTTCCAACTCATCAGCTACAAAGCTACCGCTGATGTTTGCATTTGAGCTGATGACGGTTGTTTCTTCCTGATATAAATCATACTTGTCTGTATTGAATTATGTTACAGTTTTGTGCTAAGGACGTTTTTGCGTTGACCTGTGCAGACGTGGCACTTCTCTTTCATTCCAAGTACATGATCATGATGTTTGCCAAAGACAATCAAGCTTTTAATGGACTTTTAATAGGGAACATTCACTATTTAGTACTCAGCCCACTCTGACGAAGCAGATTAAAATAGGAAATTGTCCAATCATAACAGAGCTCATTTACAAATAGAGATCTTAAAGTTACAGTCTGTGTAATTCAAAGTATTTTTGGTGCAAGGAACCTGAAAAAAAAGAAGCTATATAAGTCTATAATATGGCTTAAACAAACCAGATGTTCTCAATTTGACAAGTAGCGACAAAATATGAATATGAAACTGATTTGAAACTGTCCAGGCCATTTTACATAAAGTGCTTATTAATACAAAGATGCTTTCTTAGTTATACATTTTTCTGGTTCTGATTCCACTTGTTGTTGTTTTTTTCTTTAGCTATTTTAGAAGTGTCAGAGTATTTAAGTACAATGTTCCATCCGCATCAACAAAAAAAATACAGAAGTTTAAGAACCATTATGTTTTTTTTTTGTGCTGGAACCAGTTCTAAACAGGAATCAGTGCTTAATTCCAAATGCTAGTCATTCATTAAACACTTCCACATGCTTTACTCAGACCCATTTTAAAGACTGGGGGCCATTGTAAGGACTGATTTTTAGGGCTTGTTTAGTTTTCAGGTGTGCAGGGTGACCCTTGACCTCTTCTTATACAGTGACAGGAGTGGGAATATTCAGGGCCCATATCCTAGGCCTGGATTCAATGGAATCTTTTGTGAGATCATGTCTGCAGTGAGAGTAACAGAGAGAAGGGGAAATTATGGTTTCATTTATTTAACTAGAGTTGGTCTCGTTTTCTCTGCTGTAAATACTGTAGGTTTAATGAGAATACAGAATGACATGTTATGTTTTAAACATTCCCAGAATCCAGTTGGAACAAATGGTAAAGTCTTAATCTCAAGCTTTTCTTTCTCAAGCTTAAAGATTTCAATATTAGCCAAACTCTGTTCTTAATGTCAGTTTTGTATGTTGTCCAGGCTTGTTTGAGGATAGATCAACAGCTCTACGTCGTTCAACTGCGAGTTCATCGTGGGTTGGTTGTCTTGGCAACAGGAGGAGACACTTTCCATATGGACTATAACTGTTGCTATGGAAACAAAGTTTTTATTTTCTATTAATAATCTGGCGGGTAAATGTGTAAGCATTGAGAGCCTCAATGTTCAGTCTAGTGGAAAAGATTTTGGGGGTATTTTGTCCAGTTGTGATGGTCTGCTGAATTTTCTTCAGGCTTCCCCTATGTGACTTTGTGTTGTAGTGGACGCTCACCGCTTTGAGGGACAGTATGCAGCTCCTCATTAAATCCAGGACTAAACAAACTCTTTAAACAGTCAGTCTCATAAGTCTCAGTCTCACTGGAGAAGATGTCAATATAATGGCAAACTGTTAATGTGCTTCACTAAAACCGCTATTTATTGAGTAAGTGTGAGGCTCAGGAAATGCAAATTGATGCATCTTTTAAAAACCAAAGCCATTTCCTTTGGTGTGGAGTCATAAAAGCCTGCTGTAAAAGCCAACTTAGGACCATCTGGAACAAGCTTGTAGACCATTTTGGACCAACAATAAACCAAAGTGGTGGTTAAGCTGGTTTTATGAACACGGGCCATCTAGAAACCCGCTAAAATGCTCTAAAACACAGCTAGCATCATCTTAAGATGGATTTTCCAGCAGGCAATCGAGTCAGCCTAAAGTTCATAGATACATGATCAGGATCAGTAAGCTGCTCTGTTCTTCATTCATATTTTTCATTGAGATATTTTCCAGGTTCTGCAGTAGCGCAGTCGTGCACAGAAAATGTTTGCAGTAATTTCATTGCATTTCACCCGTTTTTTTTATTTATTATGTTAAAGGGGTCATATGATGCGATTTCAATTTTTCCTTTCTCTTTGGAGTGTTACAAGCTTCAGTAGGTTCTCCATTTTTGTATGGCAGACCATAAAAGAAACAAACAATCCTATAGATCTCAGGCCTGTTTACATCAAGAACAATAACGATAAGGATAACTATAATTATATTAACATCCACACCGATGGACGATAATGCTTTGTTTACTCCAAGCACACGCTACAATTATGCCGTCATTTGCTTTAAATGGTTTGTATGGCTAATTCCCTGGAAAAATTGTTCTTAAAGAGCAGGTCATATGGTTTTTTAAAGTGTCCTAATATTGTGTTGGAGTCCCCTACAATAGGTTTAAACGCATCTAAGGTCAGAAAACACTGTAATTTTCCCAGAATATACATTTATACATAGAGTCATTTGTCCATGATTTCGAAACGGTTCGTTCGATTCCTTGTATTTGATGTAGTGGTTGTATAGCGACCCCAATACCGTCATATTTAGGCACTGTAATGCGAATTTACCAGGGGAACTCCGACTGAAAGCGTGTATTTTACACCCCAGAAGGCGATTTTTAAAGGGGGACCACCCTCGAAACACGATTGGGCTAGTTTTGAGTAGCAATTTAACACTTATGCAAGCGAATCGTGCCCACAGCTAAAGTTTAGCTGCTAAACTGTAAATACTTAACAGAACAATAATGGTGGATACGTTAGCCGAGTGCTAATGTGACTAACTGATAAAACAATACAGTTTGAAAACCAAAATATGTCTACTGTAATGTACGGTGACCGAGAAGTGCAAAGCAAATCACAATTCTGAAAACAAAATAACAAATTACAAAGTGAGAAGTAATGACAGTACTTATGTGTTATCTGATACAGAACCTATTGAAAAACAGCAGAGTGATCTTGCTATGGTTACTTCCTTAGGTCAACATGACTTTAGTTTGCAAGCATCTATGTAGAAGGTTTGTTTTAAAGTGCTCTTTATGTAATATGTAGAAATAATATTGTTTTATTATATATAGGCCTACATCTGTAACACCCTTGGACTGCCCTTGTGTTCCTGTCTTGTGTTTTGCTCCCCATGTGGTCCCCATGACCCAGTTTCTCCCATGTTTGATTGTGTTCATTGATTTCAGGTGTTTCTCGTTAATTCCCTCGTTTGGTTCCAGTTATTTAAGCCCAGTGTTTTCCTGTGTCCAGTGTTCGGTGTTAAATGTCAACGTTGTGCTACGTGTGTGTCCTGCCTGTATTCCCCTTTCCTGTGGATTAATAAAGACTGTTCCTCGTAAATTATCCGTCGTCTCCGCACTCAATATCGACAACATCAACATGAAACAGCATTTACAACCATTTTTGTTTCTGTAATGCAACATATTTCCAAGTTAAATACGATAAAAATGTGGGGAAAGAACTGATTTTATCCATCGGAAATATAGTATAAATATATATTATAGGTGGTTGAAGGGGAGGGGTTAAACCATGAGAGGTCTTGGTGATGTCATCCGAAAAAGGAACGTTTTTCAGTAGTGGAGCAATTTTGTACATTTTGACAAAAGCTTTATAATATGCATGATTTGTTCCTGGTTTCAAGGACAGAAGCATGTATCAATGAAAGTAAATGAGGTCAGTTTTTATTTGACTCATATTAAAGGGTTTAGTGTCCCTCTCTTTGTATATTTTGGTCTTTCTTCTGTTTGGTTTTTGGTAATTTCCTACTCCAATCACGTAGTGAACATGCTGTAACAAACACTTATGGGACCAGTGTAACAAAAGAACTTGTATTGATTCTATTGCCTGGTGTTTACAGCATGTTTTTGTGTCGCTGTTAGCCTGAAAGCCTTCCAATAATCTGAAAACCCTAAAAATAAATTTACCATAAATGTTCCAAAATAGAAGGTGGAAATAGGGGGAAAAAACAGTGACTGAAGCAGTTTTCCGTTAACTAAGAGAGTGCAGCTGGCCAGTAGCCAGAGCTATTTTTAGTTAATAGGGTAGAATAGGGTTGGCAGTTTTTGGAGGACTAATCAAAATATTTATGTACACAGCGTTTTTATGTAACTATGATGTGCAGGATGGATATTTATATAACGCTCTAAAATAGAATTGGTGGTGGGAGCACATAAGCAATAACATTTTTACATTTATGTTTTTGTTTTTTTCTGAAGACATTCTCGTTGGTGTTTGCCTGTGCCATGTTGCTAGGGTGTTCCAGGTAGTTACCAGGGCTTTGCTACCCACTCCCTTGTCTCTATGATTGTCTCCCATGTCTCCTGATCCCTAAAAATGGCTTTTGTACAGTGACCTAGAGAGCTCAACACACTGCAAATTTAAAAAAAAAAAGAAAAGAAAAAAACACACACATGCAAATAGAAAAAAAAAACACCAACAAATTAGGAAAACATCTTCATCAGTTTGACAACACATGTGCTGCAAATACTCACAACGCAACCAAATACAGAAACGTGCTGCAAATACACCACATTGGAAATGTTAAAGGGAACCGCAACAAGTGATGAACCTGGCTGGGACATGCTTATCAATGTCTGCTCTGAAATGTGAGATTTTTTAATTTTGTAATTTTATTTTAACATCCTGATCATATGATTCCATAGCTTTTTTTTTGTGGATATTATTAGCCTAAATAAGCTGTCGAAATACATAACTACTGTAACTGTGAAACATTATGTAAGATAGCTAAGGCGCCGATCAGACAGAACGCGTTTTTCAGGTTTGAAAACTCTAGGCACACCGCACTGCCTTTTTTTGGTTTATACTTTTTTTAATTTAGAAAAGAGCAGTGCGCTGCATTTTTTTTATGTTGCTAGGCAACCACCAAATCAGCTGTCCTGTCAGTCTAATCAAGGATTATAGCGCCAGTGTTCTAAAATCTTTGGTTTGCTGTTAAGTAAACTGTTATATTAGCAGAAACTTACCGGGTAACCCGCGACAGTCACCACAAGTTTCTCCTCCATCATTGCAGTCTCCGGACATTCCAAGCAACTGTCCACAACGGACGACCTGCCTCTCCATTCATTTGATTGGACAATGGGGAAAAAAACGCGAATGACGTTGGGCGCTTTTCTGCTCAGAGTTGATTTTTTTTTCAACTTCAGGCACTCAGAGCACTCCTACAAAAACACGAGGCGCCCGGGGCGCATAAACAGTGTGCAAAACGCTCACTGCCAATAGGAAACAATTAAATAAAGGCGCCTCTCACTGTAAAAAAAACACGTTCTGTCTGATCGGGGCCTAACTTACTTTTACAACTGCCCTTACGAAAATTAACCATGGTTTTACTATAAAAAACATACCTTGGTTACTATAGTGAAACCATGGTAACCACAAATTTACCATTGTTTTGCTAAACTAACCATAGTTTAACCATGGTATTTGTACAACTGTGGTTATACCAATACGCCAAAAAACATGGTTACTACACTTTTACTATAATAAAACCATGGTTAATTTCCATAAAGGTTGTTGGGGTCGCCTTGAAGCATTTCCGTTGTGGTCCGTGCTGCTTGCAACGCTTTTTCTGTATTTGGTTGAATTGTGCATATTTGCAGCGCGTTTCGGTATTTGGTTGTGTTGTGAATATTTGCAGCACGTTTCTGTATTTTGAGTATTTGCAGCACATGTGTTGTCAAACTGATGAAGATGTTTTCTTAATTTGCTGGTGCTTTTTCTATTTGCATGTGGTTTTTTTAAGCTTCAGCACGTTGAGCTCTCTCGGCCACCGTACAATAAAACATGCACCGTTTTAAAGTTTGGAATCTTTAAGATTTGAATTGATGGGATGTTTTTGAAAGAACTCTCATCAAGGCTGCATTTATAATACAGTATAATTGTAATATTGTGAAATAGTATTATAATTTAAAATAGCTGTTTTCTATTTGAATACATTTAAAAATGTAATTTATTTCTGTGATGGCAAAGCTGTATTTTCAGCATCATTCTGAAATAATTCTGATATGCTGCTTTGCTGCTCAAGAAAAATGTCTTATGATTATCAAAGCTAAAAAACGGTTGTGTTGCTTAATATTTTTGTAGAAATCAGGATTCTTTGATAAACAGTAAGTTCAAAGGAACAGCATACATCTTTTGTAACAATAACATTTTTGCTGACACCTTGATCAATTTGATTAAACTTTTGAACGGTAATCTGTATAGGATTTTATCACCGCTTTATTGTCAAAATACATGGAAATTGTAAGTCTATATCATGCTGTGTTTTTATGTTAGCCTAATTTATTTCATTTAGTGTGTTTTTTTTTCTGGCGTGTCATTCTGTTCCACAACCGATCACATGCCCAACCTTATTTAGTGGCACTGCGAGAACTATGCCACTTCCCAGGATGCTTTGCGGAGCTGGCGGTGTGTGGGTGGTTTGGAAGCACTGGAATAATCTAAAATCAATGCGGAGTATGGATCGCCTCTGCCTGCTGCTGCTGCTGTTGCTGACCCCGTGCTCTCATACTTTCATTTCAGTGATTGATAGACAGCAAGTGCATAGGACAGCCAGCAGTTTGACAAATTTCTGTCAGGTCAGCATAGCTGTGTCAGACCTGCTTAACTTTATGTGCCTCTAGACAAGCTAGTCTGCATTTGGGGTTTCTCAGGAAGACGTATAGCCCTGTTTCCAATAACATGACTTACACTCGTTCTCCCAGCCCTAAAAAGTCACTCCGGGGCACAGCAGGAGGTGGCCTGTTTATCACCAGGTCTTCAGCACACAGTGAAGTGTCAGATGTCTTACAAACGTGCATGGAGGTCCATTCAGCTGCTGTCCGATGTCGGAAATCCTTTAAACCCTTGTGAAAACTGATCATTCAGTGAAAGAACTGAATGAATATTAGATTTCAACATACAGTACTACTTCAAAGTTGATGGTCAAAACATTCTTTTCTACTTTTTTTTTGTGTGTGAAGTAAAATAATAGCGCCATTCTGTACTGTACTGAGTTACAAGAAACGTCGGTGTGAATGCCATGTCACAAACAGATTTGTTTTTTGTATTATTTATATACTGTTATTTAGTGTTTTAATATTAATTAATGCTTTGAATTAGAATATTGAATATTTTAATTTTAGTTAGTATTTATTTTATATAGATTTTAGTTTTGTATTTTAATTGCAGTGCTTTTTTTGCCTGCTCAAGTGAGTCTGTTTAATACAACAGAAAAGAAAAAGACAATTTCATGCTTTTAAGAGTCCTCCAAAAAACGAATACTGGTAGAACTTGTAGACCAGTGTTCTTTTTTTGTATTATTTATATACTTTTATATTTGTTTATTCATATTTGGAATTAGTTTTATGTTTTCAGTTTTAATTTTAAATGTACTTGAATTTTTAGTACCGTAATTTTGTTGTGCTTTTGTCATTTTTATTTAATATAGCTTTATTTTATATTTATTTCAGTTTTAATTTAATCACATTAAGAACTTCAACTTATTTCATGTCAGTTAGTTGCCAACACAACATTTCTAATTTTCATTCAGGTTTTTCATCTAATATTTATATTTTATTTAATTTCAGCTTCATTTCAGGTGTAGTTAACAATAACAGCACTGATCTGGTATAATATAATATAACTGTACACTAGATTTCTATGATTTCTATGTTGTTAGAATTTACGTCTACTTTTAAATGGCCAGAAGAACATCATAAAAATGTCTGATCACTCAACAAGCTGCATGATTTGAGGTATCATCCATGTCTGTAGTACAAACGGTGTGGGATAAGTTTAGTGCTATGGGTTTTCATGCCTTATGTCAGGCATGAGCAGTAGTAAAAATTATGCTTGCCTTGGCTTTGTTTTACTGTGTAACATTATCCTGTTTAACAGAAGAATGTTTTTGGTACTTGGCTATCCAGTTTTGATGCACCGTTTCCTCCAGGTACTTGATTTGATTATGAAGAACCCATAATCCCTCAGAATAGACACTGAGCTGAACCAAATCACTGCTGAGTTGCCATAGCGATTTAATGGTTTCTCTTTCATTGATGTGAAGCGAGTGGAATCGAGGAGTGCATGTCTTCGGCAGCGATTATGCCAGGAATTAAAGGTTAATCTCCTGATTGCTGTCGCTCATATCTCCACATCCCCCCGGCACACTAATCTGCTTCATCAATCATTGCATCATCCGCCCCTCCCCCATTTCCTCTATCAGGTGTGCCCATCTTGCACAAACAGACGCATTCATGAAGGTGAGGAGCTGTTGATCAAGTTAGAGTTTCACAGGAAAAATGTTTCAGCTCTTCTGCGCATTGCTTTTTTTCCCCCCTGCAAGTGATGGTTTGCAGAGACTAGAGTGCATTCTTCATTATCCGCCATTCCCGTCCCACCCACTACTCTTATCTTTAGGGGCTCTATTTTAAGAACGGTACGTCTTAAATGCATTATGTGATATGTCATACACTTAAAATTATTATATGCAGTGATACAACAAAGTGATTTTTTTTTTACTGAAACACCAAAAGCAAAAGGTTTTCATTTAGCTGAAAACTGAAAATAAAGTTTATTTAATAATCAGTAAATAAATACATTTATTTCATAAATAACATTAAAATATTTAAAAATAACAGATTAAGTAAAAAATATAATGAATATGTAATATAATGCATATATTTAGCAAAATGCTTCTTTCTAGAGTCATTTCCCCCCCCTGTGGATGTTGAATGACTTTCTTAATGTAAATGTAATGTTCTGTGATACATAATACATTTTTTAGAAGCTGTTTCATTGAAGTCTTTCTGCAGATGATTGGGCAGTTACATGAAACTTGATTCATTAACTGCCGTTCCTTCAAATTAAAGTGAATATTGCACCAAATTTTCTCACCAAACATTTGTCTTGGTGTGAACAGGCCTTAACCCTGTGACTCGCCCACCTAGACAAGATTTTGTCAACAGAGGTGCTTCCGATGTGAAGGTTATTCCAATAGGTGCCCTGTATAGGTAGCATGTAGCTTTTATTTTGTCCAGAATTCAAGGTAGCATCCCATGTATCCTTTTACAGAAACATGTAATTCCTGAATACAGCATGCTGATGTAGCAGGGAAATGTTGTTACACCAGATTATAATTATTTATTTTATTTTATAGTCTATAGGACATTTCCTGTCAGACGTTATATAGACATCTAGAAAATGTCTTTAAGATGTTTATTATGTAGAATGTGTGTAAAACTGGCATCTTAAACACGTTGATCAGATG